AGTGGGGATTACAGTCTAGGTCTCTGGGTCTTAGTGCAATTTTCTAATGCAAACTTTCTCAAGTTGGTGTCTTCCTGATGTACTAGATTACAGTTCTCATAATACATAGTTAGCATGGCCAACAAAATTCTGAATTGAAAATATGGGAACTGTAGTCCAACATAACTGTAGACCAACATATCAGTTGCACCCATTCCTGGACTGGAAGGCCCTACTTATAGTCAGGCATGCTCTTGTCACCTCCATCTTGGACTGTCTCAATGCACTTTATATGCATCTGTCTTTGAAGAGTATCTAGAAGCTTCAGCTGGTACAGAATACAGTGGCATGGGCAGTTATGTGCAGTCCTAGAGCAGTGCATGTCACACCTCTGATCCATGATCCATTGGTTGCATCGGGTTTCAATTCAAGGTGCTGGTTTTAACCTTTAAAGCCCTTCATGGCATGTGACCAGACAATCAGAGGGGCCAGCCTGTCTTGGTAATCTCAGCCCACCAAGATCAGATCTCAAAAAGAATTTGAGGGACCTACTCATTATAGGTGTGTCCCAGGAGACATGCCTTCTCTGGTGTGGCATCTACCTTATGGAACATCCTCCCCCCCCCCCAAAAAAAATTAGATTTACCCATTCTCTTTGGTATTCCAAAAGACCATCAACCTGATAATGTTAATGAAGGGGACCATTTTTATCCTCCCTTTGCCTATAGTTAGCATTTTTGTTTTTATGATATTTATTACTGTGCTTTTCTAAATGTTTGTATGTTCTTTTTATATTAGCTGTTTTATCTAACATTGTGCCTCCCAGAATCATCTTCAGTGAGATGGGCAGCTCTACAAATTTTATTAATAAATAAATAATAAATATCTGGAAGTCAACAGATTGGGGAAGGCTATTCTAAATATTAAATCCTTTGGGTTAGTTTCTATGGCCTTCACTAAAACTACCATAGAAAAACAAATATCTCTTAACATTCCATGTTGTCTGTAACTAGTTAGAAATTATTGTTTCATTTTATAGTTTCCAGTCTTGGGTATTTGATTCTGTACTAGATGGGGTAGTGTAGGAATATTATTAGTATTCCTTCTGTAGCACTGCACCACGGTGTCTCTTCCTAACTTAACTGATGTAGCATTAAACTAGCCTGTATATCTTGTCCTTAAAAACTTCAGTTACATGGTAAGGTTGCCTCAGGATTTCATGGTTTCATGCAACATGAACCTAATACAATTTGGTCTCATGGACTGGCAGGACATGGTAGATTTGATATTTTGACTGACTAAAGCAGGGAATCTGCTGATGGATGTCCTCTCTAAAACTGTCATGATCAAAGCACTTTCTTGTTACTTTTAAACTGGTGGCTGCTACAAATCATTGGAGAAATGGAGGGTTGGTTAAATGGTCTGATGTGGCTACCCAATAGATCAAGATGACTTCCTGAATGTGCTTAATGAGTTTTCCATCTCATCACTGATACTGTTGAAAACCTGGCTGACCACTGACATACTAGTCCCTACAGTTTCCTTGGCAAGATTTTGGAATTAGTTTGCCATTTGTTACTTTCTAAGACTGAGAGAGAATAACTGGCCCAAGGTCACTTACCTGGTCTTGTGTCTACAAGACTACAACTCATGGTCTTCTGGTTTCTAGTTTAATACTTTAACCACTACACCAGACTGGATCTAAATCAGCATATTGGTTTATAAGGTAGCTAAAAGCAGCAAATAATAGTTGATAATTGAGTTATTTTGTACGATAAAGCACAAAAGTCTTCAATTAAATGCATGAATCCATTATTTGAGTGCCACTTAATTTTAAATAGACTAGATGCTCCATATAGAATTATTAAATTATAAAAATACTGTCTCATGGAAACATCTCAAAAGGTAGAGGAGACAAATCTGCATAACATTACTCTGAAAAGTCTCTACAGTCACATTACAGTCAATGCAATTAACTGCTTAATAGGGTCTTGTCTGACCTGGATGGGGAAAGCCTCCAGGATGGTGAAGTGCAGATGGACGCAGGCAGTGAGTAATGCATCACTGCAGAAAGGGGTGTTCCTGGCATCATTTAAGGAGGTCTTGGTCTGTCTCCTACTTAAGAAACCATCATTTGGCCCAACCTGTCTGGACAATTTTAGTCCAGTTTCCCACCTCCCCTTTGTAAGGAAAGTGGTGGAAAAAGCTGCATTCCAGCTCCAGAGGATCCTGGATGAAATGTATTATCTGGACCCCTTTCACTTGTATTTCAAGATGGGTCATGAAACAGAAATGGTATTGATCATGCTTGTGGGTGATATCTGGCAAAAGTGGGATGGAGATAGTTTATCCGTCCTTGCTCTCCTTGACCATTTGGGGGCTTTTGATATCATCAACCATGGTATCCTTTTGGGCCATCTGTGGGGTTTGGGCCTGGGTGGTACAGTATTGTGTTGGATCGGCTCCTTTCTCTAAAGCTGGTCCCAATCGGTGTTGACAGAGAGCAAGAGGTCTAGCCCACAAAAACTTCTTTGTGGGATGTCACAGGAATTTGTGGGATGCCACATACTCTCTCTGTTCCTTTTTAACATCAACATGAAAATGCTGGGCTAGATCATCTGATATGGGATGAGATATCATCAGTATACTGATGATACATAGCTTTGTATCTCCATCCCCAGTGATCCAAGCAATGTTGTGGCTGTCCTTTCTCAGGTCCTGGGGGTTGTAGGGGTCTGGATGAGGGACAACAAGCTTTGTCTGAACCCTGGCAATATGGAATGGCTATGGGTTGCACTATCACAGACCCGGTATGCAACCTGGGGGTTCTCCTGGACTTGCTCAATTTGCTAACACTTCATGTTATGCACCAGTTGTACCCTTACTTGGCTTGTGAAGTCAATGTACTTGTTCTACATGGGACTACCCTTGAAAAGTATTCAGAATCTAAAGTTGGGGCAGAATACAATGGCACATACAGTTCTGGGTGCTCTAGGGTGGCACTGGTTTGGCGCAAGCTGCATTGATGACCAGTTTGCTTCTGGATTCAATTCAAGGTGTTGATAATTACCTTTAAAGCCCTATATAGCATGGGTCCAAGGTATCTGAGGAGCCATCTCATCCTAATGGGACTAGCCTGGCCCACTAATGCCAGTGGAAGAGGCCTGCTATGGACCCCCATCTGCTACGCAATTCTGGTGGGCAGGGTCAAGGAGAAGGGTCTTTTTCACTGTGGCACCCACTCTGTGGAATACTCTTCCACCAGAGATGAGAATTGTTTCTACCCTATCGGCCTTTCAGAAACATATTAAAACTTGGTTTTGCAAGTTGGTTTAGAGCCCTGAGGAGATGTTCACTGCTGGAGTTGGTTGACAAGATAAGAAGACTTCATTCCAGTGGTGTCCTTCTCTTGGTTCTTGGTTTTTTGCATAGTTTTAAATTGTTAACTGCATTTCTATTTATCTTTTTATAATCTGTAAACCACCCAGAGTCTCCTTATTGCGGAAATGGGTAGCATATAAATTTAATAAGTAAATAAATAAATTGTGAGTCTTACCTGCCTGTGCTTCTTGAAACTTGAAATATTCTAAAATTCAATCCTGGGCATTTATCATCTGGGCAGAAGATTCTATAAAATCAAATATTATAATATCAATAATGCATTATATTTTTACAGATGATGGATAAAAGAAATTGATATGCAAGAGTTATGCAACAATGCATTTTAAAATAAAAAGAACCCCATCTTTGGTAGGGGATTATAGTTTTGTGAATATCCTTATAAAATTATTCCATATTTATTTATTTTTTTCATAATTAATTTTACTTTTCCCTTCTACAGCATAATAATAACAAAGAATGAAATTGTCTCCTTCAATTATGCCACTGAAGTTAAAATATTTTTAATTTGATCATAATGCTCTAGTATTGATGTATTTATCCAACATCTACTTAAATCACCACTAGTTAAATCAGTACTTATCCTATGATTTAAGGACTAAAATACAGTGATTTTATAAATCATGAGTTTATATAAAATATGAGAAGTTAATATTTTTCTTAATTATGTCTTTCTGTTTCTTGTAGTTTATATCTGCATATCTCCAAACAAATGTTAGAAAACTTAAATTATTTTTACCCATTCTTTTCACCTGAACTGTCACCTGAACTTCTTGGGATTTTTGTTGGATATTATTGTTGGTTATTATTGTTAAGGCAGAGCTGTCTACCCAGCTTTCAAGGTAATAAACTGATAACTCAGTTTAGTCAGTTTTGGTTGTTCTAACATTTTATTTAATTAACTAGGCAGCTATACTATTTAAACTGCTCTGAGCAGTTTTTAACCCTAACCCTAACCCTAACCTTTAATCTAATACATCTAAACTGAAATAGAATGCACCGCTTTAGTATTTCGTGTTATTATTATCTTGTTACTATTTATGTAGAATTAATATGCAACCAAGTCACAATGGTTTTCACAACATTTTACAATAAAGAATAATGATGGATTCATGCTTTGGAGGCAGAGATTTCTTTAATCTTGGAGAAAGAAAATAGACATGAGTTCTATTTTCCTGACTCTTATGGATATGTATTAATCCAACTCTTCCTCCTCTCAGAGCACCAACATTCCATGAAAAGTGAATGTTCATGGTTAAGGGGTGGACGAAGTGTCTATTTATTTGTTTAACATGATTTCAGTGCTACCCAATGCCAGATTAATTTTGGGTGGATCATAATATAAAAAACAAAATACCATATGATATGATATGATAAATAAAAATCTAATAAAGGAAATAAACAAAATTGCAAAACTGGATAACAAATACAAAAATAGATGAACCTTCATATTTGAAGTTCCATCTATCAACCTATCCCCATTGCTTTAGCAATATTTCAGCCACAAGGAAAATCTAAACTAACACTTTCAGTGGTCGAATGAATCCCTTTGTGTTTTGGAGAAAATGGTGACGGGGGTGGGTAGGAAGAGATGGAAATATTTCTTTGCCTTGCCTTCCATCCTGAACTTCCTTTCAGTGCCCAGTGTTGAAATGTTCCAAGTACCGTACTTTGCTGTCTAAATGGAACAAAGAAACAGCAATACTCGCTAGTACAGTTCATTGTTGCATCAGGAATATAGAAGAAACATTTTTCCCTCAGTGCATTACAGCAAACCTCTTCTAAGAAGGCATCTGATATAAAACATGCATCATTTTGATAAAATGAAAACATCCATCATAAACATTGCTTATTCATATTCAAATGTCACCATATTATTTCATTAACACATAATTTGACAGAAGCCCATATAACAGATCAACTAAAAATTGTTTAATCTGAGGAATCTAATTTGCTATCATCTGCTATTAATCTCTCTAAATACCCATTAGATAGGTACCCAGAAAGAAAGAAAGAGTGACATTTCTGTATAAACCACATCGTGGATAGGCAAGTCCCTTTCGAAAGTCACGGACAAGATAAAAGAGCAATATTTTTTTTCCTTTGTTGCTCCCAGCGGTGGCTGCATCCTGCCAATTCTTAGATTTTCAATTTTGAGCATATGTATTTTAACAGAAATGTAGAATGAAAATTGGTCAAGAAGGAAACACATATATAACAGTGTGATTTTAAAGTCATGGTGGTTTGGTGATTCAGTCAACATAGCTTTCCAAATCAACTGATTTTGGGGACTCATTATCCTACAGGTAAGCTATCTTTCATGTTTGAATTGTGCATTGAATGCTAGTGTGTCAAGCTGTGTCTCCTGATCTGTTAAACAGGACTATTCTTCAAGGGAGGGGAATTTTGTATGCTTATGCTTATCTTTAGCAATGCCACCGTCAGGAATTAATATGGGGATGCCCACCTAGCCATTATTTATCTGTGGAGACTTGGAAAAGTAAGAGTGATGTGTAACCTGGCACACACACACACACACACACACACACACACACACACAAATGAGATGAAGGAAAAAAACAGAAGCAGAATTTTTGTACCGAGAGTTATCTTTCATTTATCTAGTAACCAGCTGCCAAATTCCCATAGAAAATTCAGTAGGTTAAAATATTCATTAAATAGTGTGTGAAGAAGTATTCATCAGTCTGCATTCTTAGACATAGGCATTTTAGCCCTATATAAAAGGGGAAGTACTTGAAGCTCATTTATCCAATGAGATGTATATTCTTAGCCAAACTAAACCCTTTAAATATTAAGTTTCTCTTTAGCCCACATGGTATAAACATCTTTGGTATTAATGAAGACAAATAAGATTGGCCTTTCTCAAGAGGCCTTTCTCTATTTTCAATGTACAAAAGAGAGCTTGGAGCCAAAACCACATTGATGGAACCATCCGTTTTAGTTTACTAGTTCCATAGTGGGAAATAAATGTTTAAGGTTGTAAAAACAAAAATATAAGTGACTATAGGAGATTATCATAATAAATACAACTTGATACACACACATTATCTAACTATCAATTTTCGAAGCAATATTATGGACTGAGCAACATATATAGAACTGCATCTTGTAACATAGCAGTGATTCCTTCAATGGAAATCAGAGATCGTGGAGAATATTGATAAGAAAATGTTGTTTTCTCCATGTTTTGACATCATGGTGCATATGAAATCAATTAAGTACATGTATAATTTATATCATGTGAGTGATAATATCATGGGGTGGATGGCATCATTATAGCTTATATTTGACACTTATGGTTCTATCTTCTACGAAAACTTTCAAAGCAACATTTGACATGAATGTGCTTCTTCCTTACATTTTCAGAATTTTCTAGTGGAAGTTTTGAATATAAAAATGGACACCACATTTTTGATATTAAGGGAGAATTCACAAAAATGTTGTATGAGTGGGGAAAAGGTTCATGAAAATGCATAGTATTAAGGAAAATTCATTAAAATATAGTGTAAAATATGTATATTCAGAGGAATTAAAAATACAATATGTACTTTTTTTTCACACACACACACCCCATTTACAAATTGATGCAAATAACTCTTTCAATTCTAAAGAGTTGACTACATTGACTCAGCAATGCAATTTTTGTGTCCTTGCCTTGATCAGAGATGTTTCCAGGGATATGTTTTGCTTCCCAAAATAGCATCTCCTGTTGGTCTCCCATTCAGGTAATAAATAAACTCGGCAGTGCTTCTCAACCCAAATAAGTTACCGCCAATGTAAAAACTCTGATAGTGATTTGCAATTGCTCACTTCCACTAAAGAAGTCTCTGCTTGCAGAGTTTTTCTTTTTTACCTGTAGTGCCTTTGTTTTGAGAAGTACAAAGTCTTTTTTAAAAAAGATGTATGCTTTGAAGCCACCAACTGTTTGTTGATTCTGTGATAAATGGTTTCACTGGGAAGTCATGTTGCCTTTGATAATAAAATTGTAACTTAGGTGTTATTTTTAGCAGTGGAACTATAGAGTTCCTTCAGTACTTCCTATGATGATAATTCTTGCATGATTTCTTTGAATGGGAATAGGTGAACAGGCAAAGTTTTGATGTCTTGTTCCAGACAAACTATCATCTTTTGTTTTGTAGCCGATCTTCAAAAAAGGAACAAAAAATGGAAACTACAGATCTATAAGTCTGACATCAATATCTGGGAAGATTCTGGAAAAAATAATCAAGCAATAAATCTGCAAACACCTAGAGACAAGCAAAGTTATAACTAGAAGACAACATGGGTTTGTCAAAAACAGATCATCCCAAACAAATTTTATTACATTTTTTAATAATGTGACAAAATTAGTAGACCAGAGAAAAGCTGTGGACATAATTTATTTGGACTCAAGCAAGGCATTTGATAAAAGTAAACCACAACTGATTACTTGATAAGATAGAGGATTAGACCATTGTTCCCCAACATTTCTGGCTTTGTGGACCAGGGGGGGGGGTAGTTCCACATGAGTGGCTGGCAAGCATATGCACGCGCACACATCTCCATTTTTGCAAGCAGCGTGCATTCGCGCCTGCCGCTCACACAACCAGAGCACACACACTCACCAGTCATTTCCATGGCCCGGTTGCAATCTCCTCCACAGCCCACAGGTTGGGAACCCCTGAGTTAGACAGCAACATCACCAGATGGATTCGTAACTGGCTGACCAACCACACTCAATGTGTAGTCCCTAATGGAACTTCTTTTACATGGATGGAAACATGCAATAAGATATCTCAAGATTTGTATTAGGTCCAGTACTCTTAAATATATTTATAAATGATTTAGATGAGGGCTTAGAAGGAATTTTCAAACTGGTGGGAATAGCCAACACTCTAGAAGATAGGCTCAAGATACAAAACAATCTTGACAGACTTGAACTCTGGGTCCTATCTAATAAAATAAAATTCAATGGTGAGAAAAGTAAGGTTCTATATTTAGACAAGAAAAACCAAATGCACAGGCTCAATAGCAGTAACTATGAGAGGAATCTTGGAGTTCTAGTGGACAACCACTTAAGTATGAGCCAGCAGTGTGCTGCAGCCACAAAAAAATCCAATACAGTTGAGGGCTACATTAATAGAGGAATAGAATCAAGATCACATGAAGTATTAGTACCACTTTATGATGTCTTGGTAAGACCACACTTGGATTATTGCATCCAATTTTAGTCGCCATGATATAAAAAAGATGTTCAGACTCTAGAAAGAGTGCAGAAAAGAGCAATAAAGATGATGAGGGGACTGGAGGCTAAAATATATAAAGAACAGTTGCAGGAATTGGGCATGTCTAGTTTAATGAAAAGAAGGACTAGAGGTTAAATGATAGCAGTGTTCCAAAATCTAAGGGGCTGTCACACAAAGAAGGATCAACTTATTCTCTAAAGAACCTGAAGGCAGAATCAGATTAGTTTCCAAAGAGTGAAAACTAATCAAGGAGAGAACGAATCTGATAAGAAATTTCCTGACAGTTAGAACAATTAATCAATAGAATGGCTTGCCTTCAGAAGTTTTGGGTGCTCCATCACTGGAGGTTTTTAAGAAGAGATTGTACAACCCTTTGTCTGATATGATGTATGCGCTCCTGCAGGAACGGGATTAGACTAGAGAAGATCTCCAAGTCCCTTCCAACTCAGTTATTCTGTTATGTGGAAGCTTTGAGAGAATTATCTAGGCAAGGAGTCAGACTAATACTAACAAGGAGTCCAAATAAATTATGTCCACAGCATTTCGCTGGTCTACTAATTTTGTCACATTATCAATAACAATTAGAATAGAAAGTGCTGCACTAGAAACAATCAAGTAGCAGTTCAGTGATTTTATATCTGTTCCATTTATGGAACATCTCATATAACCTTAGTTTTTGTTTGTTTGTTTGTTTTTGAGTCCAGCTCACAAATGGGAGAGGCAGTTCATGTAGCTAGATATGCATAGTTAGCACTTCAGTGATAGGTTCATAGATAATTTTGCTCCTACAGCTGAGCCTAATGTTAAATATATGAAGCTGGATCCAGCAACTGATCATTAAATCTCTTGATTGCAGAATTATTGAGTGGAATATCTTTGACAGTAAATATTGGGATGCCCATTAAGTTATATCAAATTTCCTTGATTCTCATATGTATTGGACTCAAATATGTTCTTTGTTCTTTAATCAGGTTTCTGGATCTAAGCATGTTGATTCTTATATTTATGTCATGATTTTACCTACAGGAGTTATTTTCAACTCATAGTCTATCTAATTATCTACTAAACCTACCTAAACATTTAAGAAAGTCATGAAGTAAACCCACTGAATAAACCACTTGAGAAATATATGAGATTCCTTAAGAATTTAGAGATATTCTACACCACGATTTAGAAATGTAAGACTGGGCAATCATCTGCAACGAAGTAAATGTAGATACACTCAAATTTCCTTCATTTCACTGAAGAATCCAGGAAAAGAAAACTTTATTTGCTACAGTTGTAATACAGGACAAGAGAAGTCTATGTTTGCAATAAATTCTTACCTTTGACCTATGGCTCTGGAACTGTGAGGATTTCATTAGTTTTAATTGGCTCATTCTTTAAATGGGCACTTCATAGAGTTCAATATACTTCCTAATGAATTGTAAGAGATGATAAAAGCAGGGTTAGCAAGACAAATTGCCCATGACACTAGTTATTAAAATCTATGGAGGATTTCAGGGCATTTTGGGGTTATTCTACCTTATGATAAAGGAATATAAGCACATAGGGAAACTGGGCAGCACGACAAGACATGACATTAATCATGGATAAATACAAGGTAGTGCACAGTGGTTGCAACTTGCTACATTTGTGCAATAATCTGATGGCCTTCAAACGTTTAGAGGTCTCAGAGGAAAGGAATGCCAGTGTAGGTATTATTGTCATTGTCACTTTCTTCTTCGTTGGTAGATATGTGCATATGTGTCTTTTTAAACAAACCAAATTTAAAAAGGAATCCTTTGAGTAACTTAAATATGGGAGCAATGTAAAAACAGACTCCTGAAAGGATCTCCTCCTTTTCGATTAATGCAGCATTCCATTTTGGTCACTTGCCTCTGAAGGTATATTTATTAGCAGTCTGAAAACCTCCTGGAAATAGTGATGAGGATGGCTGATTATAGGTGTGGTAGGATGTATGTACAAAGAAAGATTGTGAAGTCTAGAATTATTTTGCTTGGATGAATGAATTAGAGAAGGCCTGATGGTGGCAATGAGGTTTATATAAGTATATATTGGGCAGTACATATTACTTTTGCTCCCTTCTTAACATAAAATGAGTGTAAATGCCAGGTTGAATGAAAAGGGAGTAAAATATACATTGGGAAAAGCTGCAGTATCCTAGAATATATTATAGCATTTGTGGCGGTATAGTTCTGCTGCAACTGTTATAATTTTAACATGAGCTAGCAGAATAGAAGATTCTGATATAAATTAAAAACAGTCTTAGAATATTATGCATGTATCAATGCATAGTATTGCAGAACAGAAAAGAATTGCTGTTTTAAGTTATAGGAATATTTTTCAACAATTCCCTTCTGGCAAACAAGTAAAATAAACTAATTAAAGGCATATTAGCACCCACGTTAAAATACTTAGAGGGCAAATAAATCGTGGTTTATGGTTTAGTATGTGAGCCCACCCAACTATGATATATTTATGAATCCACTATCTCTAAATTGGTGAAGTATTGGTGATAGTCATATTTTGAATTCTGAAAATATAAATGATTCCACAAATTGGTTTCTGGGGTTATTTTATATTCACAAAAGGCCATTAGAAAATACTTGATTTATAAGGCTGCTGCTAGCTACCCTTCTAAATACCTCCTGCTTACCTACATTTTATTACTCGTGCTTATCTCTGTCCTTTTAATAGGCTGATCTGCACATTTCCCTATCAAAAACAGGGCCACAGCCCTTTTATTCTTTTCAACTCAATGCTACTGTGTGTTTAGAAATAGAACATTGTATGTAAAGATCTCTAGACTCTGCCTATATGTCCATGTCTGTTTATAACAAAAAGTAAAATAAAAAATAAAAATGGCAGTTGTGATGCAACATACATAAAAAATAGGCAGAGCTTTGATCAGACTGTAATAGTCGCCATCTTAATATTTTTTACCAGCCCCTGAGAACGGTGCTCTTGCTGTCTATCAGCAGCATAACTCTTCAAAAACTAAACAGAGGAGGACCAGATCTAGTATGGTGACAGAGATCAGCAAATTAAAAGAAAGCTAATTCTGAGTTGAGAGAAAATTATTGCAAAAAATATATATCCATCCATCCATCCATCCATCCATCCATCCATCCATCCAATGCATCCCTATGGAAGAGGCACTTGGGCAGCTCTTCAGCATGTTGGAGGCTGCTCCATTCTAAGTTCCCCTCCCTCCTAGTCATGTGACCCACTGTAATGCATATGCCACTTCCCTGTGCTTCCCTGGGCACACATGCACACAAATGCACAAAGTCATAACTTAGTGGGAAGGCAGAAACACACAGGCACTGATCCTGAAAGAAATACAGACTCAGATAAAATACATTGGAACTGAAATTATTTTGAATGAAAGAAATTGGAAATAAATGAAGGAGCTATGATCTATATAAGCATAACTGCATAACTAACTTGTTTTCTAAACAGGCATGTATGCAGTGATGAAATCCTGCCGGTTCTGTCTGGCTCACATGAGTCGGTAGCACTGCGTGGTTCAGAGAACCGGTAGCGGCGGCAGCATGAGGTTCTGTCCACCCACCCACCCAGATGTCGATACTTCATGGTTTTTAACCCTCTGTGCATGTGCAGAAGGTCAAAAATCAGACATGATGATGGCATGCGCACTTCTGAACCGGCAGGGAAGGTAAGTAGATTTCACCCCTGCATGTGTGGCTTGTTTTTGAAAATAAAAAATAGCAGAAACTGTTACTTTGCTTTACCCAGCATTAAACCCTGGTTACATAAAACTTAGTCTAACTAAGTTAACAGTCTGATTTTAAGATTAATCAGAGAGTCTGTGCTCAGAAATCTAGCATCCTAGAGTACAACTATCATACTGTATCTGGTCTGCAAACGGTAGAATGACTACTAGATGGGAGCAAAGGTTTAAATCTCTTTTTTGCCACCTAGTGGCCATTTTTGCAGACTACTGGATTAACCTTTACCAGAATTACATATATTTTGACCTGCTGATTTCAAGCAGACAGGCTAAAACCATGATGGCGAACCTATGGCACGCGTGCCAGAGATGACATGCAGAGCCCTCTCTGTGGGCATGCATGCTGTCGCCCCAGCTCAGCCAGCTGGTTGTCGGGTTTCCAAGGCACGCATGTGCACCGACCAGCTGGTTGTCAGGTTTCCGAGGTGCGCATGTGTGCTGGCCAGCTGGTCATCGGGTTTCCGGCATTCTGGTGTGCACGCACGCACACCTTCTGGTTTGGGCACTCTGTGCCTAAAAGGTTCGCCATCACTGGGCTAAAATTTATGACCTACCACCACAAGGGAGAGATGTTCTTAATCAAGTAAAAATAGTACATATAGATTCAGATTATGCTCAGCCCTTCCTCTGATGGTTACAGAAGAAAGGTTGGGCCTTTTAAAAGAAGATTTTGTTGCAGGAATGAGGTGGAAAAGCAGGATATAACATTATGCCCATCAGCATCTGATTAAAATTTAGAATCTCAAAGAAGCGGGAAGTTTAGGAAGAATGAAGCAGAGTAGTTCTACATATGGCTATTTCAGAAGAAATAGATAGAAAGTCCAGCAAGAAATTTGCATTATGATTTTAATTTTTGTTTCTCTGGGCTGTGCTAATTACATTCTGAATTATAAAAATAGTTACAAAAATGTTGTTTTTATTTATTTTGACATAATATAATAGCAACTTGAAACTTAGTCACAGCATTTCTTCCAAGATACCACCAGAAAACATTCATTTTGAGGTTTGGTTTGGTTTTTTTGCTGAATTTTCTAGTTTTTAAACCAAGCTGTTTAATTGTAATCTGATCAACTTTATAATATAACTGTTTTAATGGTTAATTATTACCTCTTAAGATTTAATTTAAAATTGTTTTTATATTCTTTTTTTAAAGTTTGTTGTTTATGACTTCTTAGGACTAAACCCTCTAATCATGTTCTTCTTGTAGGTTAAGGAAATAAAACATATTTTACCTTTTGTATTCTGACTTTTTAATTTCCAGAATGGCAGCAAAGGTTGTAAGACACCTAACTACCGGTAACTCATATGTTGGGGTTAGGAGTTGGGTGCCAAATGCCTCTGGAAAATTGTTGTGATAGCAAGAACTAGCAAGGTTGCTTCTTCAAGGCAAGAGGCAGAACCAATTATGAAGACTCAGAGGGCTCCTGAGAGGCTACAGGCTCAGCCTTTCTGCTTCACACCTCTCCCCACCATTGTTTAAAGGATTGGTCCATGAGCAAACAAAGGTGGCAAGCAAAGCAAAGCAGAGAATGACAGATACCAACTTTCAAGAGCGGGTAGTGGTCCTTAAATATTTTAATAGGCAATCATGATTCCAATTCTAAGTCATCAAGTTACCCTGACCCAGACTATGTCCAAGTAGATTATCACTGCATTTAGGTTTGATATTAAAAATCTGCTATTCATATTTTACTTTTAAATTTTATTGCTTATTATAGGCACTATTTAATTGCTATAATGCAGTTTTTTATTTTAATTTTTTAAAATAAACATTTTAACATATACAGTATTACCCTATTTGTCGGCCGTTGGTCTGTCTGTCTCTCTGTCTCTCTCTCTATAATCTATCTGTACATGTAGAATGGAAGTAAGTTTTCATCTTCTGTGAAAACAATGCATTTGGACTGATTACTTCTGAGATTATATTAGGGGCACCAATGGGCTTACAATTGGGGCCTGTCAGATTTGATTTATTTGACTCTTTTTTTTTTTGAAAAAAGTATCAGATTTAATTCTATAATGTCACTTGTTTAAAAATGAACTAACTAAGCTCTCTTAGAAAATAAAAACATGAGTGGCTACAGCCCAACATTTTGCTTGGAAGTGCACCCACTTGTGCAGAAAAAGCACAAACAGAAGCTTAGTAAAGTGCTTCCCTATAGAAGAAAGAATTTGAAGATGTGGGTTGTTTCTTCATATGAACAAAGGGAGACTTGCTCCAACCAATTCAAATTAAAATTTGATATGCTTCCTTATCGGTATCCAGTAACATGTACAGAAATCAAATACCTGATTAACCAACTCAACCCATGAAAAGCATCAGGGAATGACCTTTTAACTGATTAAATTATTTGCAACAACCAAGAGGGGTGGATTCTAGTCTTAGATTCTCTGTTTTTTGCTATTGACTGTTTTGCAATAATTCAAAGAGATTACAACAATAATAGTTCCCATTTACAAAAAGGGGAAAAGGAATCTACCAGTTAACTATTACCCCATCAGTCTATTGCGTATCATAAGCAAATTATATGCAAACCTTTAAACACAAAATTACTGTATTGGATGAAATTTGAACAGTTACTGCCAGAAGAACAAGATGGTTTTAGGGCTAATTATCCACCGCTCAATTTGTGTTACAACATTTAATAGAAAAGTGTACAGATACACCTAGCTCAGCACCATGTGCAGCTTTTATCAACTTTAAATTTGCATTTGATTTTATATCCAGATCAGTGTTTCTCAAACTTGATAACTTTAAGATGTGTAGACTTTTATTTTCATAATTCTCCAGCCACATGGGAATTCAGTTTCCTGAATGTGTTCCCTGAATCCATAACCACTGGACCAAACTGGCTCAAATAATAGTGATAATATTCTCTACTATTATTTTAGCTTGTGTTTTATATTTAGGTCTCCTCTTTTATTTTTAAACAGTTTTAGTTGTTTTGTTCTATATTGTTCTGTAACCAAAATAAACTTTGATTGACTGAAAAGATGTAATACAGTAGGTAGTACTCTGAAAGCTTTGTAATTGGTTATGTTCCCCATATCAGCCATGTTATAAAGGCTGAGGCATTCCCAACAGTCATTTTGAAGAGTGCCCACAACAAATGTACTGAAAGAGTTTAATATTGCTGACCTTTATTTAGTTGAGGACCTGGCCAATTCGTTTGCTAACAAACCATTAGGAACTTTCATAAGTCATGAATTAGCTTCAAGCAGAAGCACTACATTTTAATCATTTTGTGCTTTTCTTAATATAGCCATTGTTAGAATTAGTAATTAATACCTGCTTTGGCAACTGCCAGAAGAAAGCAAAGGGCTGACCACAAACGCTTCGTACGTGAGAAATGTCACTCTAGCTGGCAGGATGTGTGGCTGTGTAACTGTGCTGAAGAATTTTGCAAGTGGGCCTGTTACTGGAACAAGGAAAGGAAATATGACATTTAGCTTAGCTATGGTCAAGAATGTCCAGGCAAAAGCCTGTAAGTACAGTAAAAGATTTTTATTATTAGCATGTTAAAAACACACCCAGAGGTGGAGAGCTTAGCTAATTAAGTGTAACCCTGCCCCAAGCTTACTAAGGCATATTAACTTATACTGCACATGTCTTAAAAATCAGGAACAAATGATGAAAGTTCAGGAAATTATAAGGTTTTATGGTATAAACTGGCTTGCTGAATTTCAGTAAGGTTCCCCTCGCACATATGTGCTAGTCATTCTCGACTCTAGGGGGCGGTGCTCATCTCCGTTTCAAAGCTGAAGAACCAGCACTGTCCGAAGATGTCTCCATGGTCATGTGGCCAGCATGACTAAAAGCCAAAGGTGCACGGAACGCTGTTACCTTCCCACCAAAGGTGGTCCCTATTTTTCTACTTACATTTTTAGGTGCTTTCGAACTGCTAGGTTGGCATTAGCTGGGACAAGTAACGGGAGCTCACACCGTTAAGCGGCACTAGGGATTCGAATCGCTGAACTGCAGACCTTTTGATCAACAAGCTCAGCGTCTTAGCCACTGAGCCATTGCATCCCTCAGTGAATTTCAGTAGGCCCACCTAATTAGAACTTGGATTCCAAGCATATCTTGCTTTAATTCTTCACAGAAATAAAGTATTAAACCCCACTTTCCTCAACTCAATTATTAGTTCACTACACTGGGTAAAATGAAGCAGTGTTGGGTTTGGCCAATAGAGTGACCACAACTGGGAGCGCTAACTAAGTTGTTAAGCAAAGTAGTTGCTAAGTGGAGCCATGACTCTTTTTACCATTTTACTTCTGTTTTTCTTTGTTTTACAGACTTGTGAAGGCTATAAATGTGAAAATTGGTTGCAAAATTATTTTTTCATCACCATCATAACTGCAAATGGTCTCTAAAACATTTAGCAATTGCTAAATGAAGACTACCATTACCACCTCTGTTTCAGCACTTTGTTAAACATAAACTAGACATATGCAATATATAGTTAAATATATTTTAGCCAGTGATTAATTTGCTCATTTATTTAAATTACTGTACACATTTCTTTTCTTACATTTGAAAATCTTACTACATTTCCATAATCTAGACTATAACTCTAATTAATTGTAGTTCAATTTAATGCCCTTGTAAATGACTAAAAAAAGCTACCATAGAATAAATACATGTTCCATATTCTTCCAGATTTTTTTTCAAATGAAAAATAAACAGGCTAGGTTATAACCTATTACAATTAATCAGGAATGCCTGATAGTTGTACTAAGGTTTTGTTGTTGTTGTTGTCAAATAAATAGAAAAAACATTAATATAAATTAAAAACAATAAACTTATTAAAATTAAACATATTAAATAAAATAAATGGAAATGAAAATAGGACTGACTTGGAAAGTATTAGAGGAAGGCTGAATTAAAGTAGCATAATGTTAGACCTGAGTCATAAAATCCTAATAACTATACATCTTAGAATAAAATGCTTTTATGGGATGATAACTTTACATACTACTAAACAGGGGAAACACATAATCAAAATGATAAAAGGAAATATTAAAAGCTATACATTTTGCATATACCAACTGTTTAATATTTCTAAAATTATAATTAATTAAAAAATAAACCTGCCATAGAAAAAAAAATTTGCTCTAGTGGTTAAGGCTCCATGCTAGAAACCAGGAGATTGTGAGTTTTACTTCTGCTTTAGGCATATCTGGGTAACTTTGGACTAGTCACTCTTTCAGACCAACTCACCTCACAGGGTTGTTGTGGGCAAAATAGGAGGGGGAAGGTGTATTTAGGTATCTTTGCTGCCTTGAGTTATTTATAAAAAATAAAGCAGGATTTAAATTTTTTTAATAACAATAATCTAATAACAATAAAATAATAAAATCTAATAACAATAAAACTATGGCTATGCATCTTTGTGCCTGCTCAATTTTCCATCCCAATAAGGATGGATATATTCTATGGGAAACTTCAAGTCCCCAGTTGTCTTTTAGCTTAATGGCTTTTAAAAACAGAATTAAGCTATCACCTTGCTGGTGATTTATACTCTCTTATAACCTATACAGGTAGCCCCTGAGGTATGACAGACCATTTAACGAATGTTCAGAGTTGCAATAGATCTCCAAAAAGCTACATACAAGTCCATTTCAAAATTACGGTGGCTGCAGTGGCCCTGTGTTCATGTGCCTCAGCACAGATCCAAACACGGCCACCGTTTTGTCCTGTTTGCTTGTGGGTGGCCACCAGACAAACAGCTTCATTTTGCTGCCTTAGAGAGGTCTGCACAGTGCTTCAGAAGCTTCTCGACGTGCAGACTTTGTTAAGGTAGCAAAATGAAGCCGTTTGTCTTCGAGTCACATGGCAGCAAACCGAATTCAGCCACCATTTTGTGGGTGGGACAAAATGGCGTCCGCTTTTGGAAACATGCCATGTGGATGCCCAAAGAAGGAAGTCATTCCAGAGCTCTGGAAGGCCTTGGAGCTTTTCAAAAGGTAAATGAAGGGTGTTTGCCCTGGTGGGGTGGGAATCATGCCTAAGGCCTTGGAGGACCCAGTGGGAGTGAGAAAAGGCCTGTTGAGACCCAAGGCACTGGAAGTGGAGCATGGGAGATCTTGTTAGAACCGTAACTATGCCGACATAACAGGGTTGGGAAAGGCTTTGAGAGGGCCGAAGCAGGCAAGCCTCAGCCTTTGCTAGGCCTCTAATGGCCTCCCTCACACAGGAGACAGCCCCAACTCTACTTAACAACCTGCATGTTTGTTTAATGTTTCATTGTGGAGAGCAGGGATGGAGGCATCATTAGGTGAATTGTGTCACCTAACGACTGTCACAATATGCGAACATAAAGGGCAGACTCCATTACAGTTGTATCTCAAGGATTACCTATAGGGTCATTCTTATGCTGCTATAACATAAGGAAGTTAGGTTTGTATCTATCTTCTCAGTTATGACTGCATAGCATGCTCTTTGAACAAACCCTTGAAAAGATGTCTAATAGCTATTCAGAAGACAATCTTGCTGCCTCACAGAGAACACTTGGTTAGCCAGTCTTCACAAAGATGGAAGTATAAGATTAAGGCAGTATAAACCACAAGGACAGTACTGCTCCTCTGTTCTTCCCCTGTGGTGTGTGTGTGTGTGATTCAATGTTAACAATGTTGCAACTACCTGGACTAGTCCCCACACTTTTCTTGGCAAGATTTTGGAAGTGGTTTGCCATTGCTTTCTTACTGAGATAGGGTGACTAGACCAGAATCATCCAGCTGACTAGTGCCTAAAATGGAACTAGAATTCACAGTTTTTAAGTTTGCGGCTTACCCACTACACCAAATTAACTCTCTTTTGCCCCTTAAAAGTTCAATTTTGTGAATTTCCTCCCTCACAAGATAAACTATTATTTCAAAACAATATATACATATGTTCCAGGAATCAGATTGTAGTGAATCTGGATTAAGCAACTGTTTTTTTTTGTTTTGTTTGTTTGTTTAAAGTATTTTAAATTTTTTCCCCAACAAAAGTTTGTCAGACCAGGCTGCATATAATCCACAAAATGGGTGCTTCCCACAATTTTAAAGTCCAAATGATTAGGAAGAGAATAAGAAAACAAATCAGCACTAATTCTATAAGATAAAAATGGTTCTTTGGTGGATGCAAGAATGGGAACAACTTGCAAAGACTCCAAGACAATTCATCTATCTTCAAAATGAATAGAACGGACATATTTTTTTTCTGTCTTTCTGCTACTGACTACAATTCAGAAGCAAAAGAAGAATCTAAAAACATTTTTAATCGAGTCACATTTCATATTTCTAAGGATTTATGTTGTTTTTGAAACTTAAAACTATTTGACAAGAGCCAAGTTAAATATATATCTGTCCAAAGTGGGACACATTCTAGTTCTATATTCATATGCTATCTATACAAAAGATAAATAAAGAGATGGATAAATTTTCCTGGGAAATGCCTTTCATTTTTGGCATTACTAGTTTAAATAGATTATATAAAACTTCACACTTTGTAATTATTTTATAATTAAAATGCAAATTGTATAATCTACTGACAATGGAAATTATTCCACCAGCTCATATTTAAATGCTTTGATGAATTTGGGCCCTTATTCATTTTGCACTACTTTATTGAACAAATAAAGAAATGTTTGATTACATCTAATACCCCCTTTGAGAGGCAGCTTATATTTGTCCAATGCACTTGACATGTGTTTATAAAAAATGAGTCAATTATTTCAAATAAGAAAAGGCTAAACTGAAGTCTTAATGACTTTGGAAAAATCATTTTGTTTAACTTAACAAATTAAAAATAAACTGTATCAGATGTAGCACAGTGAAGAAATCCATTTAAAACTATGATCAAATCTTATAAATAGTGAAGGAAATGAGGCAGTAATTCTCTAGATATAAAAATAATAAAATTATCACAAATAATAGAACCATAAAGTCAAAAGGGGCCATTTGGGTCCTCTGAATACAACTGCTTGTTCACTGCAGGAATCCATATTAAAGCTTCTCAGAGACATGGTTGGCCAGGCTTTGATTTCAATCACTTTCTTTTGGTAATTTATTCCATTGCTCCGTTAGCATTTTCTCCCCTGATATTCAACTAGACTAGAATCTTAAAATTTAAGTAAATTCATTACTCCATGTTCTGCTTGTGAGACGAACAGAACAGATTATGACTTTGAATAACCCTTCAAGTATTCAAGGATGATATCATATTTTTCAATGTTCTCTTCTCAAATCATCACTTGCTACCTACAGGTAGTCCACATTTAATGACTGTTCAAAGTTATGGCAATTTAACAAATACTTGGTGGCCAATCCTTGAATTTATGACCATTGCAACATCCCACAGTCACAGATTGTCATTTCAGCACTTTGCACCCCGCACGTATTTACAATCATCTCAGTATCCCACAGTTATGT